AAAATGGATGCTGAGGATACAGATCTTCGGCTATGCTTCAGAATAATCTCTCCACAGAAAGCTTACACATTGCAGGTGAATAGTTAATTGGGTTTAATTACATTGTGCTCCGGGATCCTTTAACCTTTTCATGGTGCATGTCATCCCTCATCTAGATTAGAGCTTGATCAAGGATCTGAATGATACTTCTAAGGTGATAACCAATTTATTTGTTTGTTGTTTCCAGCAAGGTGTTAATTTATGTTTACTTTTTCATTTTGGAGCATGTTTTGCTTTGCTTAGATTTTGGTCAAGGGAGCTTATAACCTCTATAAGAGCTTAAAAAATTGGATGATGTATTCGTTAATTAATGTAGAGAATATAAGTTTGTTGATAAGCTCTGACAAAGATGTTCTTTTACGAAGATAGTAGTTTTTATTTTAGTAGTAGTTTTTATTTTAGAGAGTTTCTATGTTCTCTTAAATAAAATGCTCAGCAAGTCAATGTTTAAATTACTTTGGACTAATATTTCTTATAAAATCGCATTTTGCAAATAAATTAACAACTTGTCTATAAAATAAATTAACAGCTTTTATGCTACTAAGATAGCTTATAGCTTATAAACTCCTATGTTTAAGCACCAAACACTTCCTTAATAAGCCTGAAGTGGAAAACTTTTGCAATGTGTTGGAAATGGTGTGACTATATGGGAACAAATTGAGCTTTGAAGCATAACAGAAAGTACCAAAATCAAAACAGAATGTAATGAAAGGGATACCCAACAGATGCAGATTATATTGTAAGTAAGATGAGAAAGAAACAGATTATTTGCTATCATGCCCTTCAGGTGGAAGTATGAGAATGAGCTTAGTACATGCAAGCCCCTAAACATTGGCAAGCCCGAAAGAAGTGTATGATCATAGGAGGGGTGAGGTTTCCGTGGTTCAAACCCAGGATTTCTACTTAGATACCATGTAAATATTGGTTGGTTACTATTAGTTAGATGACTAATTGTTTCAAAACTCTAAACTGACTGAGAAAGAAGGATTAATTTTATTGTTTATACTCTTAATAGCCTGTTTTGGTTAATGCTTATTCAATGCATGAATTCCTATCTTCTTCGTGTACTAAATTACTAATCATAATCAGTAGAATTGCATTGTAACTTTTATGTTTGAACCACCTTCACCCCCCCCCCCCCCCCCCGGTCCTCCTCCTCCTCGACTTCGACTTCCTTAAGAGTAGATTTTTATTGTCTACTTCTCTAGTAATTAAGTGAAGAGAAAGGTAACTGAGGAGGAATTGAAGCAAATTAGTTAACGGAGTCAACGAAAAGCTTGGAATATTTTCTTCTGTTCTTCTCAAAAAGGAAAAAAGCTTGCACTATATCTTAATAGTTCTGCAGTATTGTTTTCTTTTTAGAAAAAGAAATCCGATGTCAGACTATATGTATTGACTAACATTGTGAATCTGTCAGATAAAATATATTATATGGTCCATGTAATGGTTCCTAAAGGTTCCAACTTGCTAATGAATATAACTATCTTAACCTACCACGCAAGGGGGAAGAATACCTTTTTTTATGTGTGTTTTAAGTAACCAATCACGAGGTAGCTTTAGAGGTGATGTTGGGAAGACTACTCAATATTATGAGGTGGATAATGTTAAACTATAAGCTGTCCTACAGCAAAACCAGTTATTGATAGCATTTCCTTCTGCAGTTTGAGCAGCCAAAAGCCTTCTAAGAATTGGTCTGTTAAGGTTGGTCTAGAGAGGATCTTGATAGGTGAACTTTTTCTAGAGAACATCTTGATAACTGACTTTTACACCCATAAAAGTGACCTTATCAGGAAAAAGGAGGAAGGGAATGCATGTACACTCTGTATGGACAATGCAGAAACTATCAATCAGGTCTTATTCGTCCATGGATGTGGAATCTTTTGGACGTTGCTTTTTCTTTTGTTGGAGTCTGGTGAGTAGTTGTGGGATCTATTGGTAAAAGAGCTTTGTGTATGGAAGGTGTTTTTAGTTTCAGAGGACACAAGAAAAGCAATTAAATTGATGCCTTTTAACTGATTGTCGCTTCTGGAAGGAGAGAAATAGAAGAGTGCACATGTTGTACTTAACTCCGTTTCAGATGGATAATGCACCTGCTCTTCTCCTTTCCTTTGATAAGATAGAGGTGTCAATGAGGAAATCTAGTAGAAGTTGTCTTGCTCTTGGTAATAATTTTGTTTATGCAAAACATTGTTTTGTTCTATGTAAGTATCTATTGTTCTATGTAAAACATTCTTCTGTTTAATGGAAGTCATCTTGCTTTTGGTAATAATTTTATTTGTTGAGAACATCTTTCTGTTCTATGTAAAATATCTATTGTTCATTAAAAAAAATTATATAACTGAAATATTTTGAAAACGATCTTGTTTTTTCACCTGGTTCATGCAGGCTGAAAATGGAGCAGATAGGATGGACTGGGTAAACAAAATTACTGGAGTGATCACGACACTTTTCAATTCCCATTTCCTGAAACAGGTTTTCTGCTTCCTGGCTTTGTATTTCATATTGCACCCTGTTAAAAATGTGGATTGCAAGTGTTGACATTTCAACTAACAAGTATCTTTTCAGCCACATGCCGGAGCAAAGCATCTGGAGAAAAGTGATTCTGGTTGTGGGGTTTCTGATGTTCTTTCACTAGATAGACTCAACAATGATGCAAGAATTAGTGCTGAGGACTCTGTTTGTGTGATGCTCAGAGAAATTCCTGGAAATGATCTATGTGCAGAGTGCAGTGCTCCGGAACCGGATTGGGCATCTCTTAATCTTGGCATTTTGTTGTGCATTGAGTGCTCTGGTGTTCACAGAAATCTTGGTGTTCATATATCAAAGGTGCACTGTTTGGATGAACTAATTTATTATCTAAATTTGATTATCTTCTATGCATTATTAATTGTTGGTTTCATGCTGATACAGCGCTTGCATGACAAGATATTGATTTTTTTATTACAAAATGTGAAATACAAACTCTAAAGCTTTCTATAGAAAAAGCCTGATCTTTGTCTGGGAGAAGCCATATATTAGTGATGCACCAGAGGACACAGCAAGTACAAAATATTTACAATCTCTCAAAGACAGATCCATAAATC